TACCACTTTGCTTTGGGACAAGTCCTCCGCTTTTTTTCCGATGGTTCCCGTTGTTTCCAATTTAGTTGCATGGCAGTTTTATGTGCTCTATAACTTGCCTTTTTATATGTTTATAAGACAGCAATGAAAAATTGTTGTCTTTTAGGTACGAACTAGACGGAAATTATAATTCATATGTGTGTCTACGTGACCGATTAATCCTGACCACAAATCAAGGAGCTCCTGTTGGCACGCCTAATCTGCCTTTTAAAACTTGTTTATCTAATAACAGTTTGAAGACTTGTGGATGAAAGCCAGAAAGTTGAAATTTCCAATTGTGTGACCAAAAATCATATGATCTGGCTCAGTTTCTGTGAGTGCCAAATTCATTGTCCAATTCGCGAGTAAACTAAACTAACCAATAATTTAGACTTCAAAGATTTGGAATTCGAGAAGTGTTTCCTATTTAGAGATCGTTCGAATGTACCTTTGTAGAAGCGTAATACTGAAGAATTCATCCCTTTTTTGATTAATCCCTTCTTGAAACGACCTTTCCGTCTCAACAGCTACGACTGTATTTGATAACTCTCAAAAAAACAATCAATGATGTTAAATGACTGTGAATATATGAAAATCATATATATGAACTGCTCAGTTGGTAGAGCACTACAGCGGTATCGCAGAGGTCATGAGTTCAAATCCCGTACAGACCTGAATTTTTTTTCAGGCCTTATTTTCACTACTGCTTAAGTAGTGTTCATCAATGATGTTAGTCTTCTGCTAGAGATTAACTAAGCTTACTTCTCATCCTCTAAATTGCCGTCATTTTTCATAGCAGTAGGAAAATTATTATGCCTGCCCTTGGGCCACATGGTGACCAGATTTACGATAGCTCTTAATTTATTCTTTTCACCACCAGAACAGCAGTTAATCTATAAATGTTTAGAAACTCTCTTCGATGGCCAATTTACATTTATCTATCAACTCAGTTGATGAAACCAAGTTTTTTTTTGTTGCATGGGAATGGTCGTGCACCATTATGTGGACAAAGAAAATGTGCTTAATATTATCTTTCTGGTTGTCAAGAATCTTTGAGCTAACAAAATAAGTTAGCGATGATTTTTTCAATTTAAACCTTAAAGGTTCTCAGAAAAAGTAATTTGAAAAATACAAAAAAACATGTGAAGAACTGAAGAATGTAGACAATAATGGATCATTTGATAGTGGCGGCCACTTTTCTTTTAAACGATATTAATTGTTTCTAATGTAATGAGTTTTCAATATTTTCGAGATATTCAGGATGAGTTCAGCAGCTACTCAAAATTCCTCACTCGAGGAATTTATACCTTCAAAAATCCAGCCTTGTTAATTCGTCATTTACAATTTGTGATCATTTTTTAGTACCTAGAAGGCTTTCCTCGTGTTTTTCCAACTTAACAAACCTTTTTCTAAGTTTTAAGTTTTGGTGAGATACCCAAAAGTGCACTTCGTCAACAGGGCGTTTAGCAGCGAATCATCTCCCATTTCATAGTCCCGCAAGGCTGGCGGACATATCATCAGACCCTACTGATAGCAGAGCGGTTTTACTGAGTGTGTCTTTCAACTGAAGCTATCCTTTAAATAACCTCCATACCAATATCAGTTTAGAGCTATTAAGTAATGACATTGTTCTTAATGCTTTGAATACCGTAGACAAGGCATTTTCCTATATATATAGATGGTTACAGGTGATTTCATGAAAACAGACAGGTTCACTTCGTTGTCAGGTCAAGATCTACAAATCTCCTAGCCTTTGAAAATGCTTGGCAGAAAATTAAACCTCTGTTTAGCGATTTCATTTTCGGCTCTTATCAGCCAAGGGTTATGTCTGCTTTCTCTTAATGCGACAGAAGGTAAGATCTTTCTTTCAATTGAGATTTTTCCCTAAGGCTTCATAACAAAGTCAACCCAAACTTTATCTTTCTTGATTGGGATGTTCTGATGATGAAGGAATGCGGCAGATTTAAAAAGGTTCATTCTCAGTATCATTTCAACTTGCCAGCAAGAACGTAGGTGTTAGAAGAGCAGTATTTGTGATAAATCACAGCAACGTATTGGCTATGCTTTCCACCACAAGGTTTAAAAAAAAAGAAGTCACTTCATACACATGACAGACGAATAACAAGAAATTTAATGGATTGAAGATATGAGTCAATTAGCTTGCTTAACACAAAAAAAACAAAACAAAAAAAAAAACAATGCTGCTGTAGTAACTATAAACGACATTCTGGGTAATTAAGGATTCTGTTCCAGTTGAGGTTTCGCTTATACAAAGATGCAGTTATTTTCGCTTGTCTCTTTTGCCTTTTTTCCGTTCCCCTTTTATCATTTTTTTATTTTCATTTGTTTTGGTCGGTTTGGAAAGATGCCGAAAGGGTGGAATGACTTTTTCTTGAACTAATCAGTTCGTGTTTACAATAATTGATTTACATTAATCAAAATTATTTTGTCACGGAAAAACAACTCCACCTCATGTTCAAAATAAGTAAAGTAATCCTTGATTTTTTTAAAAGTTAGCAAGCAGATTATATTATCATATTCGGTGAGCTGATTTCTCTTGACGTTGCAACTCTAAGGCGTCGTAAAAAGTTCAAACTTTCCAGACTATTCCTATTACCAAAGCGATGCAGCAGCCCTCACCACAAGCAATCGAAAAAACTCCTGTTGTTGTTTACTCATTTGAATTGAGTTATTTGTCAACACTCGTAACTGGATATGTCCACGGAAAGTTAAAATAAATAGTGATAATTCCCTAAGTAGCATAAGTATGTTGCATAGTCTAGTTCAACGCTAGGTCATCGCCCCCTAAGAGATGTTGACTTCCTATGAATGTAACAATGTACCGTTTTTCACCCAACTGAAAAAAAAAAAGGCAAACAAACAGTGGTAGAAATTTTCCAGAATACTTCCTTTGCTCTCGTAATTCTCTTCGTGACTTTAAACAACAGTCATGAATTAGTGAACAGTTATCATCTGCAGTTTGTTTCAGTAAAATGTTTTCAATTCGTAACTATAGTCATAATCGTTTGAAGCTTTTTCGCAGTACTGCTTCAATCACCAATTACAAGTCTGAGAAATATGATTTCAACCATTATTAGGTCAGTATTAGTTATTTTCACGATTTTAACAAGTACAACATGCGAGGTCTTATTGCTAAGTCCTTAGGCCAATTGAACGTGCTTCTTCTGTATCAGTCACGTTTTTACCTTGACAACAGTGCGCCCTTTTCCTGCAGCAACAATTTCATGCAGGCTTGTTAAAAGAGCCACTTTTTCTCCCTTTAGCCTGGGGCAATCTTTCCACCTGCAGTTGGAATAACATATGAGTTAAACAAGAACACATGTTCGATGTAATAAATTGCACGTGCACGTGTACTGAAGGCCAATCTTGTTTCACCTTTTGACCTGAGGAAAAACAGACGCTTCAAACAACCAATTCAACACTAAGGGATAACTTAAAAGCAGCTTTATGATTATAAAAAAATGTGCTTTGTGATGAAAATTAAGTCGTACAGTTAGGAAAGTAGAATATTGACTCTTAAAACCCTTTTTTAATCTACAAAATTTAGCAGTGATTGTTATGGAAAGCTGCGTAGAAATTACTGAAGATTTATTTTGGCAAAGGCTCAATTTTTCCATAGATTCGTAAACACCTTGGAGACCTTGCAGCCTAAAAGTTTAAATTTCTTGGTAAACAATTTGCCAGAATTGACACATTATCCCATTTTTTCCAGTATATTATAATATCTTTTCCCAGTACAAGAAACGTCTGTACTCGTCTTTTTACCTTTTTAAGGTAAAATTATGAAAAACCAGAGATTAGCAGCTTTAATTGTTGAACACTTTTTTTTTAAATTTAGTGCATATCAGAAGTTAAATCCGTCCATTTTGAGGAGGATAAATTTACAAATTAAGCATTTAGAACCACATTTTTTTGTTATAAACATTCTGTGAAGCGAATGAAGTAACACATGTTTTGAAAAAAAATTGTCGCCAAGATCTGGACTAATTTTTCGATTCACGATGAAAGGGGCATGTAAGATTATTTGGACTGATGCACATTCAAGAAGCTCCAAGGTAATGCATGCACTTGAGTTTATATGGAACCTCTGTGGTATACCTTAATTGGAATCATTATGTACTTATTAAGATCGCTTTCATCCGCTCACTGTAGGGAAAAATGGGAGGCTATTAAAAAAACATGTGCGGTTCATCCTTCTTAAAGCTTTATTTGAGTTTCCTTATCCTTGTCGAGACGTACCTCTGCAATATCTACAATATCTGCCTTACAGATAACAAATATGTCGAGGAATAACTCTTCCACTTAACACAACACCCATACAAATAAGCTATCGAAATCTTAGCTAATTCTTACTTAACTTACCGTTGCAGTAATGTTTAACAAGCGCATCTTCTCTTAATTTTACTAATTAACAAACGGTTTGTCTCTAAAGTAAACTCGTTTATTATACATATGTAAATGATTTGACAGCAAATGAACAAGTAACGCTTGATTCTTCATGCATTGCGCAAAAATCATTTTAAGAAAAAATACCTTGGCTGTCAGGATTGTTGTAGCCCAGAACTTTCAGAGCGTTTTTCAAATTCCACAACCATATGGATTTGAGTCAAGCACTTACAGGAAAAAGAGCAATTTGGTGTACAGTTTCTGCAAGTTTTCTGAGAATGCGAAGGTCAACCTTGGTCAAATCATTATGTAATTTTATTTTTTAACTCCTTTTCAGTTCAATGATTTCTCTTGCAGTTAAAATTGTGTAGGAAGGTTTCTCTTATGATGCAAAATATGTATTGGCCTATTTTTGTTTTCAATTATAGTCACTTTAAGTCTTTTGTTTGAATCAAAATGGACTCACACTGACATTTCGAGTATCTTTCAACAGTATTGCTCAACAACATTAGGAAGGTAATACTCTTCAAACTGTGTCGGTCTCTGATTTCAAATACCACCACATAGATTTAAGACACAGACAGTTCGCGAAGTTTATTTTATCGCCATCTCCAGTTGATAGATGAAGCCTGAAGAGAGAAACATTACACAAACAACGATGAGAAGTCTTGCCTTTTCTCATCTGGCAATATGCTTGTGGTCAGTAGCTCTTCTACCGAGTGTCTTTTGTGCTCCCAACCAGTTGTTGAACACTGAATTCACAGGTTTGTTTTGGTTTTAATTCCTTCATTAAATTATCATTCCTGTGCCGAATTAAACTTTCAATCGAGAGAACAAATTCAAGAAAATTTTTTTAAGCGGTGAAGCCGTTTTTCAAACAAATTAACACATGAAATTGTTACCAATTGAAAAGATAGGTAGTTTTTTTACGAAAAAAAATGCATGTAAAGTGTTCTCAGTAGAGCCTTCTTTAATACGATTAATAACAGGCAAAAATAAGCAGATCTCGCTTGAAAAATTTATCAGCACGCAAATAACATAGATACTTCAATTTATTTGATAGGGAAATTGCAGTTCATTTAGACGGTTTTAACGGCAATTTTAGGGTATTTTTTGTGAACTCAGTGCGGAAGTCTAAAATCTTATATAGCTAACCAAAGAACGGTGATCCGGCATCGTAGGTTAATCCTTCCATATCGCTTTCTATTTGTTCGATATCGCTTTCTATTAATTTCGCAGCTTAATCGAGAGACATCTTTGGAAAACATTGGTCATCGTAAAATAAAGCGTCTTTATTTGCTGTTTTCTCTCGTTTTTCACCCAGTAAGAGCATTTAACAAGTGCCTCTTAATTGACGTGTTGCATCGAGTTTAAGCAAGAGAGTCATATGGTTCGCAGACGTTCGCTTAAGAGAAACGTAAATGATCATGTCTTTAATTTAGTAATCACCATCTTTATCAAGAGTGATGAAACAATTTTCCAACCTGATAGTTTTCTCTGAAACCACGCGGTTTTTACATAGTTACCTTCATCAAAATCTTGATTTTTACCGTTGAATTCCTTAACTTACTGATTCTTCTCATTCTACCGATGTTGGAGATAAAAACGATCTTCATCTACCTCATTTCGTTCTTTACCGTTATCCATACTTATTTAATCAAGTTCTGATCGGAAAAGATAAATCTGATCTTGCGCTAGAACAGATAAATTTCCATCCGAAAATAAGTAGGTTATTCTCGTTACTGTTGTTTTTGGTGTGAGTAAAAGCGATTAGGGATATTATTCGAAAAATTCCTTGCTGATCCCAGCAACGTAAGCATTTCTAGCATTTGAAAGTAATTTTCATTTTTTTCCTCCTGATATAAGGTATATTTTTCACGCATCCTTCATCAAGGAACAAAAGATTGCATCTCCTGAAACTCCATCAATTTTCGGAGTGTTGATTTCAAAGTCCTATTGATATTGCACAAGGATTCCGACTGCTACCGACGGCTAAACGATAATTAATGTATTGCTATATATTTTATCTGATAAAGATAGATGTTACTTCTCGGATTAAGACAAAAATATCTTTGAATATAAGCGTGCGAAATAACTGTTGTTCTGTTAACTTAATACGCAATGCACAATTCGAAAATCTTTCATAGAGGTGCTGTTCTTTCCGACTTATCAAATCGGCTGTGCATGGACGTTTTCACTGTACTTACAGTTCAACAAGTAGTATAATCCAGTTTCACTGACCAGGAACACCTTAGCCTAGCACAAAAAGTATTTATTTGAAGTAAAGAGGGCAAATAAAAAAGCGAAAGCCGACAATGCACGTAATTCTCGCTTTAGAGGTTTGCTGCGAACTCCATGGCAGACTCGAAAACTTTTGATTAAGTGGCACTCGGACTTTTTACTGTATTCCTGCTAAATCGATCAGTTAAGGTTTAAGTTTTGTAAGGTTCAAAAGTAAGTTTTATTTTCGTCCCACAAGACAATAAGAAATGCCAAAAGTAAACTGCTGTTTATATTACTAACTCACTTGGGTCTCGTTGCAGCCTAATGATGCTAGTTTGTACTTTGGACTTCGAGAGATCGAGATAGGCTAGGTTCCTTTTTTAAAATGTCGGAGAAAATTTCCCAGAACCTTATCAGTTGCTTCTCGTAGTTGGAGACTAGGAAAACGTGATCTACTACTTCATAAAATTTTTGACGAATTTCCCTTGGATATTGCTTTAGGAAACTGCAACTTTGATTCCGAGTCATTCTGCAAATGGCTCCAAGTGAAAGGCGATACCTTCAACTGGCGGCTGCAAAGAGGCTCTACTCCAAGCGGGGGAACTGGGCCAAGAAGAGATCATACTGGAAATAATGGTAAACGTAGTCTTTATACATATCAAATCAGGCAAACGATTAATAAATACGAAGTACTGCAAATGGTGAAAAACTCAATGTATCGAATTTTCGACTAGGGCTTTTGAAGCTATCACAAACCTTTCATTTCGTCATCCAGTTCTTGATCAGAAAGTCAAAAGATGGGTGGTTGACCAGTGACTAGGTGGTTGAAATTTTCTTTGTATTTAGTAAAGAAGGTGGTTAAAATGTTGTCTGAAAAAAAGCTGGAAAATGAGTTTATTTCCTTTGATTCTACGTTTGATAATTTTCCCTTTTGTAAACTGGTACTCCTCATTTTCTCAGGCTTCAAGAATTTGTTAATGTTCCTATCCTCGAAAAAATCTGAGTGTTCCCGAAGTGATAGGAATGAACAATGGTCTGAGAACTTAACGGCCTTTGACCCAGTGAATATGTGATTTCCCAGGGTAAAAAGCAAAATAAAGGAACCTGAGTTGGTGTTTGAGTCTCCGCCTTTTTTTCCATATCATGACAGGTCACTACGCGTACATCGAGGCCTCGTCTCCCCGAAGCAAAGGGGATAAGGCACGTCTCATCAACGGTCCTTTCAGTGACGTACTCTGTCTTCACTTCTCGTACAGCATGGTGGGAAGTTCAATAGGAGAATTGAACATTTACCATGTTCTCCATGGTATGGAACTGGCAGTGTGGTCTAAGGCGGGACCGCAGGCTTATAAAGAATGGCACTCTGACAACGCAACTTTGTATGGAAAAAACTACTATGTGAGTCTTTTGAATGTCAACCTTTGCTCGGGCTTTCTTTGAGAGAGTTTTGCAATGACAAGTATAGAAAGGGAAAGGAAATTGTTTTACTGGACAAAAAAACATTACATTTTAAATCTACATCTCAAATCAAGTTATCCCACGTTTCCAATTTATCAAAACATTACGTGGCTGACGGGTTAAAAGAATTGCTATTTACACTCCTATGAGAACTACTTACGCCATATTGCACGCTATCATCAGTTTCTCACATCTCAGAAGACGTTAGCGTCTGCCTATTATTCACATCGGAATTGGACGTGACAATTAGCGCAGACTCACATAAAGTGGTCCGGGCCTTTTATTTTCGATTTTTCCTCTACCTTTGCGAGCTCATGCTATAAATATTCCTGAAACAAAATTTAATGCCACGTTTTGATCAGGAATAGTTAAAATCATGAAAGAACTCTCCACAAGTTTTTAATTCATTATTTCAGTTTCCATCGCTGATTCAGACACTCCTCACAAGAGAAGAGTGGGTAGATAGGGAATAATTAGAAAGCTTGGGAAAGCTTGCACTTGATTAACTCTCCTGCTGAATATTTTCAGGTGATAATTGAAGGAGTCGTTGGAAAGAGTTACACCGGCGATATTGGTATTGATGACATTTACTTTACAAAGGGTTCTTGTCGCGGTGAAAAGTTAGCATTTGTAGACAACTCAACTAATTCAGGAGGTAAAGTATTGTGACACTGTCTATAAGAAGTCTTTGGGCCACATAAAATCCAGTAACCGATTGGTAACTCTTCCACCAAAGTGGTGAACATTTTCGCTTTTCAAGGTTGTTAAGGCAATTTCTAGTAGGCTCCTAAATTTGCATATTGTTACCGCTGTTTGTTTCTACTGTTTGCTGAATAATATTCCTAAACTGGGAAACGGGAAAAGTTTAGCGACTCAATTTCCCGACTTGTATCCATCTACAGTTATAGCTTTGCTGTTGCGTTTCGAATTTATTAACGTTTCTTTAAAGACGCCGAACATTTAGGGAAGAGACTTACTGCAAACAAATAAACAAACAAACAAACAAACAAACAGAAAACTAGACCAAATAGGAAAAAGAAAGGAATTCGTTAAAACTCCTGCTCACTCGCCTACGTTCTTCCTATGTGTCGACTGAGGACATTTTTTGTCCTCTGGTCACGGATAAAATTAATAATGCGTTTTGTTTTCAGAGCGCCAGAAATCGATTTTAACATTTTTGCTGGACAGATATAAGTATACTTAAAACACAGCGTGTAATTCAAATTGATAATATATCTTTTATCAACAACTTTTTCTGCCTCAAGGAAAATGCTCCTTTGACATGGGATTGTGTGATTGGGCAAACGACTTGACTAACAGTAATGTTAGCCCATGGATGCTGAGTACTAATCGAAGAGGGGGAGAAAAGAAATCAGATCATGGAAAGAATCTAGGTAAGCTGCAAAGACATGGAACAATTTGTAACTAAGTCAGTCACCTCGAAAGAGATCTCAGTCGTTTCACCGCTTGAAATAAGAAATACGCATGATGATTTAAAGACTATGCCAATTGAACTGAGAAAGATTGCCTTGTATATCCCTTAAATAATAACGGTTACGCTCGATTTCAATTCTTTCTCAATTCCTTTTTGCCTTTTCAAACCGTTTCACTCTGACTCATAGATTTAATGCATGCCTGAAGGAGACTTTTCGTTATTAGTTGTCTGCTTTGCCTTAGCCCGATAGCGACGGTGAACATGAAAGCCATCACTCTGTGCAACTTTTAGTTCATGTGGCACATATTCTTTTATAATATTCTATTCTTATATTCTTTTATAATATTCTAACCGCTTTTTTTCTCTCAAATTTTTGAGCAGGTGGCAGATATGCTTACGCAATGAAATCGGGAAGAAAACCGTCTAAATATCGAATGGTGTCTCCAAAACTATGCGGTACAAAGTGCGTTGAGCTTTTTTACTTCACCAATAAATTCGATAAAAGCGAACTCAGATTGTCTGCCAGAAAAGACGAAGGAGAGGATCGTGTGTGGTTCGAGTCTGGGCTTGGAAAGAAAACGGACGACTGGACAAGGGCTGTGGTTGAAATAAAAGCAGAAGAAGAAACATGTTTTAAGGTAATAATTCATTCATTCTGGTTGATACGACACGTCTTCCACCTTACTGTTTGCCCTCAAACACGCATAAAAAAATCCATAAAGCAGAAATGAGTCGTAGATAAAATTGAACCTGTGAGCTGATAAACAATAATAATAAGAAATGTTTATTAATGAAAATGCTATACCTTTACATTTTATACAGCTTGTGTTCGAAGCTCGTCTCCACGAAACAGCATCATCAGTGGGCTTAGATGATCTCTTCATAGCAAATGGAACGTGTTGTGCGTTGATCAGCACTCCCGAGGATACCGCGAAAGGTAATTCTCGCAACAGAGCAAAAACAGCGCTGGGATGACTTTGACTGGTCCGTGAAACTAGGACCACCCTATAAAGCAATAAGTTTTAAAAAGGAAAGAAATTGTCACTCAGTCAATGCTCCCGTTTTCCGCACAGATGACTAGGCAGATAACTTGGTTTTGCTTGGGGTTCTCCAATGTCGTGATCGGGCGAAAATTATCATATTTAGACTCAATCGAAGTTCACTCTTGCTCTATCTTGACTTTTATGGCCCCTGAACCTCATATATTCTTCGGCTATGTAGAAACTCAACTCGAAATGCACACGCCCTTCTTATAAAAAGGAATTGGCTCTTTAAATGAAAAATTACATTAGTTATTAATCAGTCTTCTTCCGCACTTCAGCAAACTGTGATTTTGACGAAGGCACCTTTTGCAACTGGAGGCAATCCATGAAATCATCTTTCTCTTGGAGCATTGGAAGTGGCGAGACTAGCAGTGGAAAGACAAGTGGTGGACTAACAGGGCCTAAAGCTGATGCTTCAGGCAATGGTAAGCAGCTGAAACTAACTAGAACACAACTATCTGTTCCCCGATGATCGCAAGTATCTCAACCTTAATTTTTAGGAATATTTAATACTCCAAGGATTGATATAGAGAAACAACAATGGTCGTAATTTTCGATTTCCAAAATTCTCATGTAGACTTTGTCTTTACCGACAGAAGAAGTCTTTCAGGTAAACGGCCAAAATCGGCCAGTGGCAAATCTTTCGATATCGTATTTTTTCACGTGTGTTGTTACGGCTTTTCTCAGGGCCGGAAATCCTTGTATAACACCGTAGTTTATGTGATAAAAGATAATGTTAAAGAGTGAATTCTTCTTGAAAATTATCAAGTATTCTTTGAAGTAGTCTGCACGCTCCTTTGATTTTGTTTCTGTCGTTCTAAAGGCCATGTCTAATAACCACTTTACCTCTGAAATTCCTAGGGAAATACGCTTTTATTGAAGCTTCTGAGCCTCAGATGAACGGTGATAAAGCTATACTGATCAGTAACATGATGGAAGGCCAACAATGTATGCGTTTCAAGTACCACATGCACGGGGAAGATGTCGGGTCCTTATCGATTTACAGGCGAGGATTCCTTATATGGAAGAAAACTGGTAACCATGGAAACGAATGGCTGAATGGCCAGGTTGACCTTGATTGTAAAATACCGAAATACCAGGTAAGTCTTGAGATGAAAAAGTATTTATGTCGTCTTCCCGAATGTTTGAAATTTAGTCAAATATTAAATGACCAAAGGAAAAAAAAAATGAGAAGAGAAGGTGAGACATTCGGACGGTTCACTTAAAACACTAGACTCGATCAAAATTGTTTTCAGTTTTAAACGTTTGCACCGACGGTTTGTTTTCGTTCGAGAAATAACATTTCCCCTCTTTCATCGACAAAGTCAATCTGTGCGCTTTCACCGGGCAAACATATTTCTGTAGCTCAAACCATTTTACCTGTTTACGCAGGTAGAAATAGAGGCGACTGTTGTTGGATGGCGAGGTGATATTGCAATTGATGAGCTCCAGTTTATCCCGGGAGGCTGTCCCCTACAGGCCCTAACTACCACTGCAGCGCCGCGTGATACTACACCAACTACACCAGAATCATTACCTGTACCACCACCTTTCAGTAAGAACCAGTTACATATAAATAAGAATAATTTTGAATCGAGGGTCGGGAGTAATCTGGCACCACTTTGGTCTTGCGTCAATGCGCTCAGTACATAAGTATTTGCTAAAGAAAACCACGCACCATCTTTTCAACCAATCATAAACAATAGAGGGAGTAATTTTTTAAAGAAACTGTCGTGCTGCGTCGGTGGGAGAGTATAAGAGGGTACCGACGAAGGGCTTACGCAGGGAACGTCAGCTTTTAACTCTTTATTAAGGCCAGTTTACGTTATCGATCGACTCAGTTAATAAAACTAAATTACCCAATCATAAATAATTTCAGTGAAAATTTGCTTTTTCTCCTTAGCATCTTTTTTCATTGGCGTTGTAAGATACTGTACCTCGTTTCAATGGTCTAATGTTGTCTTTACACGTTTACCACAGGTACTTGTACATTTGATAACAATTTCTGTGAATGGACGAATGTGTTTGACGATGACGGAGAATGGCATCTTGCTAATGGTAACACCCCTTCAGAAGGAACAGGGCCGAAATACGGTAGCGATGGAAATGGTAAAAAAATTGCTCGTTCCTCATTTACATATAAAAAAAAGTAAATTGTATTTACCTGTGGATAACAAGTCAAGAGTTGATTCTCACAACTGAACTGCAATGGAAGCAATTGCATTCTCTCAGACAAATTTCTTCCTGACTATTGGGGAAACAAGTGCAAATAGAAGCCTTCTTCCTTTGGGTTTTGTAGCGGTGACTGAATTTTTAATCATGAATAAAGCACTGTTATATTATTGTTTTCTAAAATAAAAAACTTTGCCCTGAACTTGAAGTGTAATAAAAAAAAAATTTAAAAATTAGGATCCATGTAAAAATTGCAGGAAACTATAACAATCATCTTAACTATTTCAATCTCTGAAGCGTCCAAAATGGAAGTTCTCCTCACAATATTAATACATTTTCGAGCAGAAAGGTGGATTGAAGATTGGACTACATCTAAAGGGGTATTTCTCAAACTTTTGGTTTTCAGAGCTCAAATTATATAAACTGCATGGCAGATGTTTCGGAGAAGTGATAAGTAGATCTGAGAGTGAAAGTATCTTAACCCTTTCGTTCCAAAGATCTCATCAGTAATTCTCTCTACTGTCTGCCATACAATTTTTATGACTTTAGTTCGGAGAATTTAGTAATGGATCAACTAATTATGCCCTAAATTATATTTTCTTTATTCTCATCACTTGTGTACTTGATATTGTAAGGATATTGTGAGGGTTAAGTGACTAATTCAAAAGTAAAGAGGTTCAGTTAATGGTTATATCTCTCTTACTTAGAATATTACATCCACATGGAAGCCTCGAATCTGCTTAAAGGGCAAAGGATCCGTCTGGAGAGTCAAGAATTTTTTTCTCCAGTGTGCTTGCATTTCCACTACCATATGTACGGCAAAGACATTAATGAGCTGCGACTGGAGCATCGAAATCTTAAAGATAATTCAACTAAAGTCATCTGGTCCATAACAGGACAACAGGAAGACTTTTGGCACTTTGCTTCACAAAATTTCAGCGGGGAACATTACACGGTAATTTAACAGAGGATGCTTTATTACTCGAATCTAACGTAAAAACCAAATTATTGTGGGGCACCTTGAGGGCTGAAGGCAAAAGATAGCCTTGCAACCAAGGTAACGTTTTCTTTTTTGTCTGTTTGTTTGTTAGAACTGCGAATCCAGATAGCATTTACTGGTTCAAATAAATCCATGCGAACCGTGACAGACGTTCATCGTTCATTTCATACCGGCACGAGAAAACAAATAATCGGAATTGGAAAAAGAAAACAAAAACAAACAGAAAAAACTACTAAAACAACAAACAAATGAAGCCAATGAATCTGTGCGCTTCTCTCCAGATAATAAACGTATGGAAAACATATTTTTAAAGACTAAAACGTCGACCTAAATACGAACGGTGATGCGGGGAGATCTGATAAAGTTGCGCAATCCTTATAGCAAAGCCTATTTAAAATGGCTGCAACTCTTTTTATTTAGGTGTCTTTTGTTGGTATTCGGGGTGATTCATATCTTGGCGACATTTCAATTGATGAGATTAGTGTTGGCGAGCTTGAGGAATGCCATTTGGAAATCGACCCTACTGGGGATCAGATAACAACGAACCCAAAAGAAGGTGAGTACATACTAGAACTGTATGCTGTTTCATGATTTGTCATGGAAGATAATTCATTTGAACTGACCTTAGTGGAAAGTCTTGCAAGTTTTTCGTGCTTTAAGTCTGTTACTGACTATTATGTTACCTTACCCTTAGGAAATTGTGACTTCGAGGATCAGTTCTGCAAATGGATGAACATGAAGGAAGACACATTTGATTGGACGAGCCAGACGGGTAGAACTCCTTCTTCTCAGACCGGCCCATCTCGAGATCATACATCAGGTATAGTAAATTATAAGATTACCTTTCTATTTATGACTAAGAGTAATAATTCTATTTCTTTGTTTATTCTTTCCCGTTATCTTTACCGTCACTATCAACTCGTCGCCCTCGTCTTTACCACCAGACACTATAATCACCTCTTCTCTTCAATATCAGACTCGTTCTTGAATGAAGGAAGACCTTCACGGGCCTTATTTTCTTTGAGTCATAGGCTACTTCTTCTCTTTGCCATGTCCTTCACGGTTCTAAATTTTCGAAACTGAAACGTCACTCTAGCGCCACAGCCTTTATCCTACATCTAGACTAGCTTTAGGGACGTTTCTGAACCATCTTGACCTGTCTGAACCCTCTGTAAAAGTCTCTTTGATGGATTTTACAGCGGAGTATTTCCATTTCATTTTGAGGCAAAAGACATTCTCCAAAGGAAAATTTGACTATTAAGAGCGTAGAGATTTCGGCTTAAGGTAGCTCTAAATTCTGAAGAAAAATTATGCAACCGGAGAACACTTTTTTCACCAAAGTCTGGATTATGATCCTGGTTGCTCTTCAATTTCGTTTTCCATGGACAACAGTAACCCGCAAGCCAGATACTTGCAATCTTCTTCCATACTTAAGTCTGAAATACTTTAATTTGTAGGCAAAGGTGGAAAAGGAAAGTACATCTATATTGAGACATCTAGTCCCAGGAAGGCGAAAGATAAAGCCATGCTTCTTGTCAAACTTGAAGGTCTATCTTTCTGTATGCGTTTCTGGTACCACATGTATGGTGCAACTATTGGTTCGCTGGAAGTCATGCGGATTGTCAAGCAAGAAAAGGACGATCAAAAGCCAAGTGCAAAGGATTTTAACGAGAAAGAGCACAGAGAGTGGATCGCCAATCAAAAGAATACTTTGTCTAGAGATAAGTGGATGCAAGCGGAAGTTGACCTCGTTGTGCGACGATCCGTGCGCAAGGGACCAACCGTTAACTGGGTAAGTTGCGTTCATGGTGAGCTAAGTGAGAATCAAAATGCGCTTCTTCCATGAGTTAACTTAATTTGTGAGTTCTGCTTTGGGGACCTAAAATTTTTTTTTCACCTGGTGGAAGGGGGGAAGGTGAGTGGAAGGGGGGGCCAATCACATTTGAGGAAATTGTAATGGCTATGATTAGGCTTTATAAAATAATTCTAAAAAGTACGCGCGCTCTGATTGGCCATAAAACCATTTTACATGAGCGTATGTAAACACGGTTTTCGTTCCTCTTTCATTAGTTATTTTATAAAAGAAATTTAAAGTGGTTTCCGTGTTTACATAGCCTGATGTAAACACTTGGGAGGTTGGGAGAACACTCGATAAGCTGGAAACCACTCCGCTTCGCATCGTGGTTTCCTACGCTTATCTTGTATTCTCCCAACCTCCCGCGTGTTTACATCAAGCTATGTAAACACGGAAACCATTTTACATTTCTTCACTGTAATACTATTATAAGCCCCTCATTGGCAGTTAATTAGCTTTATTCCCCTCTATGTACTCTTTTTTCGACGACTGATCCCAAAAACGCACTTCGAGAGAGGAGTAACACCTTCCTTTGCCCAGTTACGTCAGGTGTTCCTTGTCGGTCCTAAAGCCTGAAAAAATACGCAATAACGTTTCGTCCCTTCTCAAAACCAGATCGCAATTGTGGGAACAGTTGGTAGGTCATACACTGGAGACATCGCAGTTGATGACATTCAATTCTCAGGAGGACGTTGCTCTCAACAAAAAGAAGCACAGTGAAACTGTCAACGTAAGTGTGGTTTATTGCGGTTTTTTCGAGGTAATAAACATTGAAAACTTTACCACTTAAACGAAATATGCATACTCTGAGGATTTTTTAATTTCGCTCTTCTTTTTGATTAACCTCGATTTTATTTCATATTGCGTTTCAGGAAATCGTCGTTTATCAAAGGAAGTGAGAATGACATTTAATCCTAAACTAAACCCTATATTTTACATTGTAGTTGAAGGCGAATTTATAGATGTGCAACGAACTTAGTTTGGTTCACTTATGATCGCCAAGCTATAAAAGAAAATAAAAAAATCGCATATGTCATTTTTGCATTGCCTATCTAAACGAATTCCTTGTATCAGATATTCTTTAAAAATCAATATTTCATGTTTACCTTGAAAATCCAAATAGCTCACTACAAATGTATTTCAAAGTTTCTTGTACACATCTCCATCTCACGGCCAGGATTATATCTGTCCAGTTACATCAAAAAGGGTGTCAAACAATCATGTGATGACTCCTTACTCAAAATTTCTCTAAGACTCGGACGCATAGGATCTGAAATTAAACTGTGGAATAAAAGTAGTCTAGTTTAAAGAAATGACAAAAAAAAATCCGAGGAATTATAGAAAAAGTTCACCAGCAGATCGATCGATTACAGATCAAATCTCGTCGGCATGTTTAAAAGAACTTCTTTTGTATCCAAATAAGGATATCATATACTATTCCGAGCCGTACAAAAATCGTTTAGGGAAATCTTACGCGTTTTCAATTTTTCCTTCCTTTACCCTTTACAATTTACGTTGAATTCTTTTTGAAAGGAACAAAGAGGCACGATTTAGATCGAGTCACACACTTTTGGATAGCTTACGTGTATCACAAATAGGTGTAATCTTTTGTATATAGGTGCTTAGTAAGTGCATGAAAGACCATAAAGTTGCTTGTGAGAAAAAACATGGTTTGTTTGCGCCTCTTTATTTGAATGAGTGAGATTTCAACCACACACTTTCTTGATTAATATTGATAATCCTTAGGTACCTCTGATAAGGCAAGCTCATAAGAATTCGAAGTACCATTGTTCTGAGTCTTCATTAGAAAACATTACGTGTGTGATTTTACTTGAAGGGAGCCCATTAAGTGACGGAGAAAATTGCAAACAATGAACGCTCGCGATAATTTGGTTAAATACGGAATTCATAAAAACACCCAACAAGCCATGTTGGAGGCAATTTTATTTAGCAGTAAAATCATTGCTTCTTTAATTAAGTATATGTCCAAATGAGGAAAGCTGTCAACAAATAACATATCGTAACAACATGTAAATACATATACATACATCTGACAGGGTTACACACCAGGAGAAAATGATCCATTCCATGAGCTGAATTTGGTTAAGTCAACAATCGGACCAAGTGACTCATCCAGCCGCACTTGATCCCAAATTCTGGGCCTCGAAGAGATTGAGGGCATTTCTATTCCACTTGAGTGCGATGCTAGCCCATAGTTACTTACCCCTAGCATTTTGCCATGAAATTCCGACAGCAGTTTTGCTGTATATAATGTTTAAAATAATCATCATCAATGTTCACCTATCTAAGGATATGTTTTATACAACGGAAAACTTGATGTAGGCAAAACAGACAAATGATCACCACATTGAATATCGTGGTTTTGGTCTCCCGTACTCTCTTCCGTCCCATCCCTCCTCTTTGTTGGTGTTGATACATTTGATTGCCCTTTTCCCTCTTCATAAGCAATACTACACATATTAACGACAATTCTTTACAATTGTCTTTACAATTTATCGAATATACAGAGTTAAAGAACGGTACACGTTGAATCCCTTTTGGCAAGATAAGCTTGGTAACTCTTAACTATAAGTTTATTTGTTTCGCCTTTAAGAAAATAGCTCAGTACATGCTTTCAATAGCCAGCATATTCCGTAATACAAAATGAAAAGCAATCAAACTTGGATTGCTTTTGAAGATTGAATCTAAAGAAATTGGAGAAAAAAAAATTGTGCCATTTGCAACAATTACGAGAATAAGAAATTCATATCTGTCATTTTTTCCTTCCAATTACTATCTTATCTCACTGTCGCTATTGATTCAACTGCCTTCAGTCAAACAGTATATCAGTTTATTTTTTTCAGTGCCACTTTTACTTCCTCCATAACACGGAAACAATAATTCTTGGTTTACAGAATTAATATCATGAAGGCCTAAATTTCTTTTCACCAAATCTCGATATTTATCGCAAAGGCTATGAAATTATTTTAGTCTGATTAATTTCCTCGATTATCAAGCAATATCTTTTAATTTTAAGATACGTTTATTTTAATGAGATCTCAAAGGATAAAAAATGGTGGTGTAATTGTCATATATCATCCTCATTTTCGAAAACCTTTTGAAATCCAAGTTTCTTAAATATAATGGCAGACGAGAATTGTATCCGTTAAGTTCCAACCAAACAGTTAGTTTTTCCCTTCTGTTAATTTAGCTCGAGAAAAGAATGAACTTATCCAGGATTTGTGAAGCATTCAGTTTTTTTTTTCTGTTTACAGTACGAAATGAAGCCTCCCGCACTAACTTATAAAACATTCGCTAACATTGATTGAGTGGCAAAGCTTCGCGGAAGCGACCAAGATCCATTTTTTCCGGTAAAGTAATTAAAACTAGTAATATTTCATTTGTCGCTTTTAACGCTCAAAGTTTATAAATAACTTGCGTTATTACAATCACACGTTTGAGACGCTATATAACTAGCCTACAGCTCGCGAAAAAGGGTAAATTAATACGTTTTCGCTCTATCTCACTCCTGACCTCCTGAAAGGTAAGTGTAAAAGCAAGTTTGTTTGAAGCGTACGAACGAATAGTTGATATGCGTAGTCTTTATGAAGCGAGTTAACTTTCACATAAACAAGCTCTTAGAAGTGTGCTTTAACCAACAATAGAATCAGTTAGTTCAGCTAAGAAGTGTTTTATCGCAGCGTTATTAATGTAATTCACAATGGGATTTGATGGTCAGAATGAAATAACGAAAATCTTTAAATTTTTCATAAAATAACTGTCTGGGGCTATAGGCAACAAAGATGAGGTGAAAAAATGATTAATAACAGCTCAAATTGGAGGATAATAAAAAAAAGAATAAAAAAAGAAGAAGAAAAGAAAAATTACAAGTTATTTTATTTGGTCATAATCTATATCCAATTATCTTTCTTAAGGTCTTGATATTACCGTGACATTTTATTTTGCATATTACGTATCAGGCAAAAATATCTTGTACTAAGGTTATATAACGAAAAGCTCAAAGAAAGTAAAGAGCTTAATTTTTTTCACTGAATAATGCTCCTTTGAAAAATTTTCAAATTTCTCTTCTTACACCATAATCCTATGGCTGTAATATGCCAGTCATAATATTAATGATTGACAAATTGCAGCAAGGTACACTGCTATGACGCGATAAGACGTATTTGATTCATAAAATTGGCTATCACTTCTTGGACGAAGTGTAAATTTGGTATAGGCCTTGGAGAGTCATCTGAATCCTGGAGAACCTTTTTTTTTTATGCTATTTTGATTCATACTATTAATATGAGCCACGCAGGCTAAGCTATTACACATTTCGATATTTGTTTTCTTTGCCAAAATAGATGTTGCAAGAACTTCGATTGACAGTTCTTCGCTGTGTGAAAATATATAGTTGTTCATGTGAAGATATCTCAGAAGAAGCCGTAAAATTGCGTGCTGTTAACTATATATTTAATTAAGCTCAGCTAAAAGACAAAACAGCGGAAGTTTTAGGACTAAGTTTACGCAGAGAAAAATTTTAAATTACCATTAAAATGTATCCAAAACCATATGGCGGCCTGTTTACATTTTGGTTGTCTGGAGCTGAACTTTTTCATAAATCCATCTTTTCGGTAAAACAAAGACAAGTAAACGAACGAGTCAAGGATTATTTCTCCATTGCTTATATTGAATTTCTACTAAACGCCGCGATTTTAAACGATGTATACCGTTTCACGATGTCAATTTGATCCAGGAACTAGTACAATTGATCCATATCAGTGGTCCTTTGCCAATGAATGTAATTGCTTAGAATATATGTGAAATTTGTGGTGAAAATTTATTTGAATATTGTGGAAAATTTCTTTTCCACAATTCATTAATTTCTTCGAATATATGTGATGATGAAATGCAAATGACTTTTTTCAAGTGTATCTCCAAAAAACTGAGTGAGCCATCTAACGACAGAGAGGTAGAACTGCGTGAATACACTCCTCTCTTTGCTACTTTATCCTTATACTTTTAATCGTTATACAGTAAGGTACATACCAGCTCTGTGATTGGTGAGAGCCAATGATATATCAAAGATCATTCGGAGCGCGGCACGGCTCACGTCGTACAAAAGTTGTTGTCCTTGCTTCGTCCAACATGGTGAACAGTTTTTAATTGTTTATAATACTTTGGCAGATTTAAGGCTTGATGTGAGAAAATCAGTGACACCACATCTTGATAATAACGTATGACAATTAAGAGACCATCGGCTGAATGAAATCTTCATTTTCATAATATAAAGTCCCCCAGCCTCTCTATCAATAACCACGTCGAAAACGATAGGCCCATAGAGGCCACTTAGAAAATCTTTAAGTCAACGATAGCTTTCATCGGCATAAGAAGAGATCATCTGTACAAATTAATTTACTTCTCCGCCTAATTTCGTGAATTCATAACTGCTCGATCCCCATTTTAATTTTAGGCAGGCCCTAAAGCAATTTTAAGACAGGTATGACCTGATCCAAGAATTTTGAGTGATATGAAAAATCTTAATGAAATATAATCAAATGCATAGTATGTCCCACTTATACTAGGAAATGTCACGTCGTGAGGCATCAAGAATGCACAATTAGAATGTTATTAAAAAAAAAATTTAGTGGAAAAAAACCGTTAAAAACACAAAACTAATGTGCTTTGTTCTTATAAAGGGTTGATCTAAATATGCGAAACAAAACAAAATCCTCAAACTAGAATATTGTGAAAACTCGAGCTCGGCAATTTGTGCTTTTTTTTGATACTCGGTGTTATTAAAAACGGACGTTTGAGCGCTGAAGCGAACTTCGCGCAGGAAAAAAATTATTTTGCAATATTTGAAAAAACCGAGGCGGTTTCGATTACTTTTACACAAGGAAAGATTCCTGGGATCATCGATTTTTCGACCCGAAACGCACCGGATCGCTCTGAGAGAGACAGCGTCTGGATACACTGGATAGCGATGAACCCGTTAGATAGATAGCGTTATCGGCCCTCTGAACAACTGGATCCTGGTAGACAATACTGCATTATAAAGATGAAAACAAAAACAATGTCACGGAAACGGATGACTTACACCCACACAAACTGAAGACCAAGCATTTGTTTCAAGCCTTTCTGTTCACTGAGCGATGATCATTTAATAACCACCCCCAAGGATGCTCCATAGCAAATTCTAGTTTTTTCCATGATTTCGTTTCCTGTGAGACTGACCGAGACGGAAATTGGAATTTCGGCAATGATATCATTTAGTCATCATTTTAACCGGTTGTGACTTTGTAAACAGTCACTTCGCGACCTGCAATTTCAATTTTTTTTTTGTTTTTTTGTGGGACATTGACTAGTTTTGCAGTTTAAAATTTCCAACCTCTGTATCTCAAAAATACCATGACTCCATAACAAAACAATAAAGGAGCACACAGGACTGTGCAATCTTATTGGCTAACATCTGATCATGAGATGTATGAGATGTTGCATGATCTTACGTACGTATAGTTCTAAAATGCGGAAACACCTGGGTGACATGCCTGCGCGCAAAAAAAAGGTATGTGACTGCATAAGGAAGGCTTATCATGAACGGGGTGACGTGTGAGTGGGTCGTAGTTGAATTACTTGCGTCCCTGTTTCTGTTGTACAACTCAGTG